TGAGTGGAGTTTGCATGTTCTCCCCGTGTCTGCGTAGGTTTCCTCCGGGTACTCCGGTTTCCCCTACCACTAAAAATATGTCCAATAGTTCTGGCATGCGCCTCCTGTACTGGCGACCCCGCTCCCATCTCTGTGTGGAGTGAGAGACAAATGCCCAAAAATTAACAATTGTAAACCGCTTTGAGACTCTGATCTGCAGTGAAAAGGCGGTATATAAATAAAGATTACTTACTTACTACTTACTTAATCATATTTTTGATTGTGTCTCTTCCATTAATGGTGCTAATGTAGCTGGTGAGATAGTAAACATGTGTCATTCAGCCAACTTCAGCCCTCTCATAGATCATCATGAAGCTCAGAACAGCCTGATCCCAGTGAAGACGGTTTTTCTGGACTAGTCTGGTGAAATAAAGGTTTGGACACCCCTGCCTCCTGCATCTGCAAAGAACAACTCTCCAGGTTTCTCTGCTTTGAGGTGACGTGTTTGGCCTGTGTGAGTCAAATGTGTGTTTTTCTCTCGGACGCATGAATGAAACTATAAATTCCTCTTTGTGAATAAATGAGAGTGTGTGTGTTTCTGTCGGAGGAACACGGAGAGATGGATGTTCTTTGGCAAACGTCATCTCTCCGGAGCCAGAGAGGCTTTGTGAGACGGAGGAGCATCCATCTCTCTGCAGGTGGAGAGAGCAGAGTCACAGAGAGAGCCCTGAGAGTCACTTTTTGAAGCTTTGGGATGAGAGATGATTGGCTGAGAGAGGGCGGATCTCTCTTTTGTCACTTTTATGTCTGAAAAAGATGATTTAAAGATGTAAAAGAGCACAAAAACACTGGAGCTACAGCCTCGGTCCTGGATCTACAGTCTCAGTCCTGCGTCTACAGCCTCAGTCCTGCGTCTACAGCCTCGGTCCTGGGTCTACAGCCTCAGTCCTGGATCTGCAGCCTCAGTCCTGGGTCTACAGCCTCGATCCTGGATCTACAGCCTCGGTCCTGGATCTGCAGCCTCAGTCCTGGGTCTACAGCCTCGATCCTGGATCTACAGCCTCGGTCCTGGATCTACAGCCTCAGTCCTGGGTCTACAGTCTCAGTCCTGGGTCTACAGCCTCGGTCCTGGGTCTACAGTTTCTGTGTATTTCTCAAGAATGAACAAAGAGAATCCAGGTGTGTGTGTGTGTGTCTGAATGAAGTCAGAAAATTAAAGAAGATTCATATTTATGAATGACTTTCGAATGAATCTGGTGAAACACAAAAAACATTCTTTGGGGGAAAATTCTCCAATTGGTTTGAATGGGAGCAGTCAAAATGACGGCTCTGGGAGTTCCAGTCGTTTCAGAACTCTTGGAGACCTATTATTAACCAGTGATTTGACCAAACCCCAGAGCTCTGTACAAGCAGGAAGTACCTTTGAGTCTGACGATAACAGAAATATACCTTTGTACCTTTTCTAATTCACTGAGCTCTGAGTCTGTGCTGGTTCTCTTGTCTCTGGTCTCCCTCTGGTCTGAAAACCTGCAAAAACCTGTAATCCCATCTGTTCAATCTCACACTTTCACACTTCTACCTTCTTTGAAAAGACGGGAGAAAAATCCTTGACAGAATTGAAGTTGACGGACAGCTTTATCACACTCGTTTGTAAAAGTTTGAACAAAAGCACGAGTTCTGCTGCGGTGGTTATTATTCATGAGTTTCTCTCAGCTCCAGATGTCTGCGTTTGCTCCAACAGGCAGATTCTGCTTTTGAGTTTTGACCCTGAGAGGCTTCTGTAGTTTGTTTGAGTCCAGACGAGTGAGAGATCTAAATAATGAAAGATGTGGATGGAATTGGTTCAGTTTAATGAGACAAAACTGGACTCAGAAGCACAGGGACGGACCAGAGAGCAAGGCAAATGGAGGTTTTGAACTAGGAACGAACTCGGACTCTGAGGAGCACAGGGACTGGCCTCCTGCTGGGTCTCAGAAGAGCACAGGGATTGGTCTCCTTCTGGGACTCTGAAAAGCACAGGGACTGGTCTCCTGCTGGGACTCTGAGGAGCACAGGGACTGGCCTCCTGCTGGGTCTCAGAAGAGCACAGGGATTGGTCTCCTTCTGGGACTCTGAAAAGCACAGGGACTGGTCTCCTGCTGGGACTCTGAGGAGCACAGGGACTGGCCTCCTGCTGGGTCTCAGAAGAGCACAGGGATTGGTCTCCTTCTGGGACTCTGAAAAGCACAGGGACTGGTCTCCTGCTGGGACTCTGAGGAGCACAGGGACTGGCCTCCTGCTGGGTCTCAGAAGAGCACAGGGATTGGTCTCCTTCTGGGACTCTGAAAAGCACAGGGACAGGTCTCCTGCTGGGACTCTGAGGAGCACAGGGACTGGCCTCCTGCTGGGACTCTGAGGAGCACAGGGACTGGCCTCATCCTGGGACTCTGAGGAGCACAGGGACTAGCCTCCTGCTGGGTCTCAAAAGAGCGCAGGGACTGGCCTCCTTCTGAAACTCTGAGGAGCACAGGGATTAGTCTCCTGATGGGACTCTAAGGAGCACAGGGACAGGGACTGGCCTCCTGCTGGGACTCTGAGGAGCACAGGGACTGGCCTCCTGCTGGGACTCTGAGGAGCACAGGGACTGGCCTCCTGCTGGGACTCTGAGGAGCACAGGGACTGGCCTCCTGCTGGGACTCTGAGGAGCACAGGGACTGGCCTCCTGCTGGTCCCAGAATCAGAACTAAACATGGCGAGGTTTCAGATTTATGCAGGTAAAATCTTGGACAGTCTTCTTGAAAATGTGAGACCGGCTTCTAACTTCGGACCCTCTGATGATGTGAAAGAATGAGTAAAAGTTTAGGTAAATCATAATTTACAGCTATATATTTTGACCATAGACTTAATATTCAAATAAAAACACAAGGATCACAGAGAGCGCTTCCGTTAGCTAGCGGGTTAGCATCGTCCATCTGTGAACAGTCTATGATTTGGACATTTAAGATAAGATAAGATTAGTAAATGTCTGATTTTTGGGCCAAAATTTAACAACTTTTCATGCATGTTCAGGGGGTCAAATTAAGGCTCAAAGTGCAGAAGAAAAAAGAAAGAAAGAAAGAAAGAAATAAATAAATAAATAAATAAAAAAGGAATTTTTTGTGACTTGTCTCGAGCAAAAACAATATAGGTTTCAATGGCATGTGATTCATCATTTTAAAGCTTTTGAGTTTACGCACGCAACTGTCATGTTTTGGTGAGTGACGGGCGCTGACGCGTCCGTCACGCACCGCCACCATTTGTTTTCACCATTGTGAAAGCAATAGGCCCTTACCCCGTTCGGGGCTCGGGCCTAAAAAAGGAATTTTTTTTTTAACGTCTCGAGCAAAAACAATATAGGTTTCAATGGCACCTGATACATAATTTTAAAGCTTTTGAGTTTACGCACGCAACCGTCACATTTTGGTGAGTGACGGGCGCTGACGCGTCCGTCACGCACCGCCACCATTTGTTTTCACCATTGTGAAAGCAATAGGCCCTTACCCCGTTCGGGGCTCGGGCCTAATTATTCTAACCCGTATAAACCATACCAGCTGAATTTGAAAACAGTATTTTGAACACAAACCTCGTACGCACTGAGACTTACATCGTGTTCTCTGCCTTTTAAAAACAAAAGTGTTGCTTCTAAATTAGTTTTGGATTTTGTCTCATGGACTGTCTCAAATACACGAACACACAGTTGTAAACACTGGGGCTTACATGTGTCCGTCTGTCCAGTATTTGCGTTGGAAAAGAAACCAACAGCTCCCTCTAGTGGTAGAAGTGTGGAACGACACACACACACAAATTTATGTTCAAGGGGTTTTAAAAATACTATATATATGCTCTCCTCTGTCTATTCTAAAACATGTAATGGATACATGGATAGATTGGTGATCAACTATAAACATTTCTAACTAACTACCGAACCATAGTGCATATTACTAAGTCGTGCATGTTTGTTGTACAGTCCGACAGTTGTACAGTCTGAAATGTTCATGTCTTATGTTTAGGAACAAATATAAAAAGTGGGGTTTACTTTAGATTAGCCCTCTCTAAGTGACAGCTAATCAAAGTGCCCCAATACTCACTCTGGTCTCTGTCTCTCACTCTCTCTGCTCTCTCTCTTTGGTCTCTCTGTCTGCTCTCTCTCTGTGTCTCGCTGGTCTCTCTCTGCATCTCTCTATGGTCTCTCTATGGTCTCTCTATGGTCTCTCTATGGTCTCTCTCTGTGTCTCTCGCTGTGTCTCTCGCTGGTCTCTCTATGGTCTCTCGCTGGTCTCTCTATGGTCTCTCTATGGTCTCTGTGTGTCTCTCTATGGTCTCTCTATGGTCTCTGTGTGTCTCTCTATGGTCTCTCTCTGTGTCTCTCTATGGTCTCTCTATGGTCTCTCTCTGTGTCTCTCGCTGGTCTCTCTATGGTCTCTCTCTGTGTCTCTCGCTGGTCTCTCTATGGTCTCTCTCTGTGTCTCTCGCTGGTCTCTCTATGGTCTCTCTATGGTCTCTCTCTGTGTCTCTCTATGGTCTCTCTATGGTCTCTCTCTGTGTCTCTCGCTGGTCTCTCTATGGTCTCTCTCTGTGTCTCTCGCTGGTCTCTCTATGGTCTCTCGCTGGTCTCTCTATGGTCTCTCTATGTGTCTCTCGCTGGTCTCTCTATGGTCTCTCTCTGTGTCTCTCGCTGGTCTCTCTATGGTCTCTCGCTGGTCTCTCTATGGTCTCTCGCTGGTCTCTCTCTGGTCTCTCTCTCTCTGTCTCTCAGTTAAGTGCTAATTAAAGTGCCCTAACACTAACCCACATGGGAAAGTGTCAGTTAATAGTGAGTTAGATGTAGAATAAGGAATAATAAATGCTTAATAAATACTAATTAAGAGATATTTAATTATAAATCATACACTACTTAGCACTTAATTATCTGTGTATTGACGAGGGCTAAACCAAAGTGTGAGAGAATTATAATCATGATCTTGTAAACACCGATCTCACCTGGTACATTTCTCTGGTGCCAGATCCAGCCGTACGAGAGGATCCGGTCGAAGGGGCTCCCAGGGGACATTGCGGCGGCTCTGGACCGTCTGGTGGTGGTGAAGCTGAACGGGGGCCTGGGCACCAGTATGGGCTGCAAGGGCCCCAAGAGTCTGATCAGTGTGCGCAGCGAGAACACCTTCCTGGACCTCACCGTGCAGCAGATCGAGGTCAGTCTCTCTCTCTCTCTGCTCTCGGTCTCTCTCTTGTTTGTCTCTCTGGTGTCTCTCTCTCTGGTGTCTCTGTCTGGTCTCTCATTCTGGTCACTCTCTGGTCTGTCTCTCTCTCTCTGGTGTCTCACTCTGGTCACTCTCTTGTCTGTCTCTCTCTGGTGTCTCACTCTGGTCACTCTCTGGTCTGTCTCTCTCTCTGGTGTCTCACTCTGGTCACTCTCTGGTCTGTCTCTCTCTCTGGTCTCGGTCACTCTCTTGTCTGTCTCTCTCTCTCTCTTGCTCCCTTTCTTTCTCTCTTTCTTTCTATCTGCTTCTCTCACCAATAGTGTTGTAACCAGCCCCAATTAAAAACCTGGTTCATCCTGGTCCTTCTCCGTCCTTCCTCCTGGTCCTTTCCTCCTGGTTCTTCCCTCCTCCTTCCTCCTGGTCCTTCCCTCCTGGTTCCTCCTGGTCCTTCCCACCTGGTTCCTCAGCACCTGAATAAGACGTACAACACAGACGTGCCGCTGGTTCTGATGAACTCCTTCAACACCGACGAAGACACGAAGAAAATCCTGCAGAAATATTCTCACCACAGAGTCAAGATCCACACCTTCAACCAGAGCCGGTGAGAACCAGAAAGTTAGAACCACAGCTGGTAAAGGGACTGGTGTTCTCATTGTACAGTCTGACAGCGAGATCATGCTGTGTGGCTGTGATAATGATAATATGTAAAGTAGATTTATGGTGAATCAAGGGCGTTTAGACCCAGGACCGAGGCCGTAGACCCAGGACTGAGGCTGTAGACCCAGGACTGAGACTGTAGACCCAGGACCGAGGCCGTAGACCCAGGGCCGAGGCCGTAGACCCAGGACCGAGGACCGAGGCCGTAGACCCAGGACCGAGGACCGAGGCCGTAGACCCAGGACCGAGGACCGAGGCCGTAGACCCAGGACTGAGGCTGTAGACCCAGGACTGAGGCTGTAGACCCAGGACCGAGGCCGTAGACCCAGGACCGAGGACCGAGGCCGTAGACCCAGGACCGAGGACCGAGGCCGTAGACCCAGGACCGAGGCCGTATTAAACCCTAGTCCCTGGTCCTGGCAGATACCCGCGCATCAACAAAGAGTCCCTCCTGCCCATCGCTAAGACCATGGGCCCCGGGGGAGACGGCGAGGCCTGGTACCCTCCCGGTCACGGAGACATCTACGCCAGTTTCTCCAACTCGGGTCTTCTGGACCAGCTCCTGGACCAGGGCAAGGAGTACATCTTTGTGTCCAACATCGACAACCTGGGAGCCACCGTGGACCTGTTCATCCTGCAGCACCTGATGAGCCAGCCCCAGGACAGACGCTGCGAGTTCATCATGGAGGTCACCGACAAGACCCGGGCAGACGTCAAGGTGAGGCTGAGGGAGAGGGAGGGAGAGGGAGGTGGGGGGGGAGGGAGGGAGGGGGAGGGAGGGAGAGAGGGAGGGAGAGAGAGGGAGGGAGGGAGTGGGGGAGGCCAGAGGGAGAGGGAGGGGCCAGAGAGAGAGGGAGGGAGGCCAGAGAGAGAGGGAGAGAGGGGCCAGAGGGAGGGAGAGGGAGAGGGGGTGGGGGGGGCCAGAGAGAGAGGGAGAGAGGGGCCAGAGGGAGGGAGAGGGAGAGGGGAGTGAGGGGGGCCAGAGGGAGAGTGAGAGGGGCCAGAGGGAGAGAGAGAGGGGCCAGAGGGAGGGAGAGGGAGTGAGGGGGGCCAGAGGGAGAGTGAGAGGGGCCAGAGGGAGAGAGAGGGAGAGGGAGAGAGAGAGAGAGAGGAGCCAGAGGGAGGGAGAGGGAGTGAGGGGGGCCAGAGGGAGAGTGAGAGGGGCCAGAGGGAGGGAGAGGGAGAGGGAGAGAGAGGGGCCAAATGAAGCAGTTTGTTGTGACGGTTCATAAACATCAGTCTTTCCCGTTTGCAATGATCTTTAATGTTTTTATTATTATACATATACTTTTTTCTCTAATCTATTCTATTTTTATTTATACATTTTATTATTATTTATACATTTGTTTCCAATTTTCCTTTTTTTCTTTTTATTATTTTTAATAGTATTTAGGCAACCTTTTCTTTGCATTATAACTGCTGCAAAAGTACTTTCTTCCAATTGATGCAAAACAGAACACGTCTTCTGATCACGTCGAACAAAAGTCAGGTACCCCAGCTTTAAACCACTGACACGTGTTGATGGTCTGTCCGTCAGGGTGGGACGCTGATCGAGTACGAGGAGCGGCTGCGTCTGTTGGAGATCGCTCAGGTCCCAAAGTCTCACGTGGACGAGTTCAAGTCCGTCTCCAAGTTTAAGATCTTCAACACCAACAACCTGTGGATCTCTCTCCCGGCGATAAAGAGAGTCCAGGAGGCCAACGCCCTGGACCTGGAGATAATCGTCAACCCCAAGGTACAAGGACCAGGCTGCTCTCTCTCTCTGCTCTCTCTCTCTCTCTCTCTCTCTCTGCTCTCTCTGCTCTCTCTCTGCTCTCTCTGGTCTCTCTCTGCTCTCTCTCTGCTCTCTCTCTGCTCTCTCTCTCTGGTCTCTCTCTACTCTCTCTCTGCTCTCTCTCTGCTCTCTCTCTCTGCTCTCTCTCTGGTCTCTCTCTGCTCTCTCTCTGCTCTCTCTCTCTGGTCTCTCTCTGCTCTCTCTGCTCTCTCTCTGGTCTCTCTCTGCTCTCTCTCTGCTCTCTCTCTCTGCTCTCTCTCTCTGGTCTCTCTCTCTGCTCTCTCTCTGGTCTCTCTCTGGTCTCTCTCTGCTCTCTCTGTGGTCTCTCTCTCTGCTCTCTCTCTGCTCTCTCTGCTCTCTCTCTCTGGTCTCTCTGTGGTCTCTCTGTGGTCTCTCTCTGGTCTCTCTCTGGTCTCTCTCTGCTCTCTCTCTGCTCTCTCTCTCTCTGGTCTCTCTGTGGTCTCTCTGTGGTCTCTCTGTGGTCTCTCTATGGTCTCTCTCTGGTCTCTCTCTGGTCTCTCTGTGGTCTCTCTCCCTGATCTCTCTCTCTCTGGTGTCTCTTTGGTCTCTCTCTGGTCTTTCTTGCTCTGGTTTCTCTCTCTCTCTCTGGTCTCTCTTTGGTCTCTCTCTCTCTGATCTCGCCCTGGTCTCTCTCCCTGGTCTCTCTCCCTGGTCTCTCTCTCTGGTCTCTCTCTCTGGTCTCTCTCTCTCTGATCTCTCTCTCTCTGGTCTCTTTTTCTCTGTTCCAGAGAGCGAGAAACCAGAGGGGGAGACCACTCATCCTAGAGATTGACCAAAGAGAGAGAAACCCCAGAGACTTCTGCTCAGAAGTCCACCAGTAACGCTCCTTCTCTCTATAAACTAACTCCTCCTCTTCTTCTTCTTCTTCCCCCCCTCAGACTCTGGACGGCGGTCTGAACGTGATCCAGCTGGAGACGGCGGTGGGCGCGGCCATAAAGAGCTTTAAGAACGCTCTGGGTGTGAACGTGCCTCGCAGCCGCTTCCTGCCCGTGAAGACCACCTCCGACCTCCTGCTGGTCATGTCCAACCTCTACAGCCTGGACGCAGGGTCTCTCACCATGAGCCAGAGGAGAGAGTTCAGGACCACGCCTCACGTCAAGCTGGGCAGCTCCTTCACCAAGGTCAGGGCTCGTGCTGGTCCCTCTCTCGATCTGGTGTCACTGGTCTCTCTCTCTCTCTCTCTCTGCTCTCTCTTTCTCTCTCTCTGCTCTCTCTTTCTCTCTCTGTCTCTCTCTCTCTCCCTCTGCTCTCTCTCCCTCTCTCTCTCTCTCCCTCTGCTCTCTCTCCCTCTCTCTCTCTCTGCTCTCTCTTTCTCTCTCTGTCTCTCTCTGGTCTATATCTATCTCTCCCTTTCTCCCTCTGGTTTCTTGCTCTGATCTTTCTGGTCTCGCTCTCTCCCTCTCTCTCTCTGGTCTCTCCCTCTCTCTCTCTGGTCTCTCCCTCTCTCTCTCTGGTCTCTCCCTCTCTCTCTCTGATCTCTCTCCCTCTCTCTCTCTCTGGTCTCTCCCTCTCTCTCTCTCTGGTCTCTCCCTCTCTCTCTCTCTGGTCTCTCCCTCTCTCTCTCTCTGGTCTCTCCCTCTCTCTCTCTCTGGTCTCTCTCTCTCTGGTCTCTCTCTGGTCTCTCCCTCTCCCTCTGGTCTCTCCCTCTCTCTCTCTCTGGTCTCTCCCTCTCTCTCTGGTCGGTCTCTCTCTCTCTGGTCTCTCCCTCTCTCTCTGGTCTCTCCCTCTCTCTCTCTGGTCTCTCCCTCTCTCTCTGGTCGGTCTCTCTCTCTCTCTCTGGTCTCTCCCTCTCTCTCTCTGGTCTCTCCCTCTCTCTCTCTGGTCTCTCCCTCTCTCTCTCTGGTCATCCCCTAGTAGACAATAACAAATGTAGGATATTATTATTATCATACACAGTGATTGTAGCGACAGGAGGCAGTAGGAGAGGCCTGGAGTGTGACGGTTGCAGAGGTTTCTCATCTCTGTGTCTCTCTCTGTGTCTCTCTCTCTCTCTCTGTGTCTCTCTCTCTCTCTCTCTCTGTGTCTCTCTCTCTGTGTTTCTCTCTCTGTGTCTCTCTCTCTCTCTCTCTGTGTCTCTCTCTCTCTGTTTCTCTCTCTCTCTCTGTGTTTCTCTCTCTCTCTGTGCTCATCTCTCTCTCTGTGTTTCTCTCTCTCTCTGTGTCTCTCTCTGTGTGTCTCTCTGTGTTTCTCTCTCTGTGTCTCTCTCTCTCTCTGTGTCTCTCTCTCTGTGTCTCTCTCTGTGTCTCTCTCTCTCTCTCTCTCTCTCTGTGTCTCTCTCTCTGTGTTTCTCTCTCTGTGTCTCTCTCTCTGTGTTTCTCTCTCTGTGTTTCTCTCTCTGTGTCTCTCTCTCTGTGTTTCTCTCTCTGTGTCTCTCTCTCTCTGTGTCTCTCTCTGTGTGTCTCTCTCTCTCTCTCTGTGTGTCTCTCTCTCTCTGTGTTTCTCTCTCTGTGTTTCTCTCTCTGTGTCTCTCTCTCTCTCTCTGTGTTTCTCTCTCTGTGTCTCTCTCTCTCTGTGTCTCTCTCTCTGTGTTTCTCTCTCTGTGTCTCTCTCTCTGTGTCTCTCTCTCTGTGTTTCTCTCTCTGTGTCTCTCTCTCAGGTCCAAGAATACCTGAAGAGGTTTGAGAACATCCCTGACATGTTGGAGCTGGATCATCTCACCGTGTCCGGAGACGTCACCTTCGGCAAAAACGTTTCTCTCAAGGTACATCTTTAAAGCTCGGGAACCTAACTTTCAAACCTCGGAAATGGTTCTTTACAATGCTCTATGGTCTCTCTCTCACTTTATTTTTCTCTTCTCTCTCTCGCTCTCTCTGACAGAAAAGGGATAAAGAGTAGTTTTAAGTTTAGGTACCCCATGTCTTCTTCTCTCACTGCTCCTTTGTTTTCTCCAGGGAACCGTCATCATCATCGCCAACCACGGCGACCGCATCGATATTCCGGCCGGCGCCATGCTGGAAAACAAGATTGTGTCTGGCAACCTCCGGATCCTGGACCATTGACACCTCAGAGCAAAGATTTTCACTGCCGTAAAACTGCTGCGACAGCACTGCTCTGGCAAAACTGTCTCTGGGGTCTCTCTCGTCTCTGGGGTCTCTCTCGTCTCTGGGGTCTCTCTCGGCTCTGGGGTCTCTCTCGGCTCTGGGGTCTCTCTCGTCTCTGGGGTCTCTCTCGTCTCTGGGGTCTCTCTCGTCTCTGGGGTCTCTCTCGTCTCTGGGGTCTCTCTCGTCTCTGGGGTCTCTCTCGGCTCTGGGGTCTCTCTCGTCTCTGGGGTCTCTCTCGTCTCTGTGACCATCTGTCCATTGTGTCTGATGTGAATAAGGGACAAAAGTACAACTGTAAAGAATGTCATTAAAATCATGTTTGATTTTATGAATGAAGCGTCTTTTCTCCGTCTGAGCAGCGACTGTCGGAGGCAGGATTCTAATGAGCAAGAACTACATTTAAGTTTTTACAAATAAACAAGGGACGAAACAAGAGAAACTAGTCCCTGTGCTCCTCAAAGTCCCAGCAGGAGGCCTAGTCTCTCTCCAGAGAGTGAGTCATGTGGGAGGAGCTCGCAGTAGAGCTGCTGCTTCTCCACACCGTTTGAAACGCCTCCTGGACAGCTCTGGGGGGTGTCTCTTTTTGTGACCTTTGAATCACAACATTTCTCGTCTGGGAGACAATATAATTAACAAATCTGAATCTGAACAAATGGAAAGAGGACGAAGAATATGCAACAACAAAAAATAATAATAAATAATAATGTAGTTTTATTATGTTTTGGACACTCAAACACACATTGGTGATGAGCCACAGCTGCCCTGGGGCATTTACAGAAGTGAGCCAACCTGTCTGTGCCATCGGCCAACACCAACCACACACACACCAGACTCTCTCTACTGTGGGTGAAGTGTCTTGCCTAAGGACACAATGACAGTTACGACTTCACAGAACCAGGACCTGCTCGGCTTCAGAGATCTGACAGTACCTGCTTTCACCTGCAGGTGGCGCCACTGGTGTCTGACATCACCTCTGTTACTGCTCAAGCAACAATCAACAGCTACTGTACCTGGGACTTCATTATATAATAAAGGAGCGAGAGAGACCAACGAAGGAGACACCAGAAAGATTCCCTTATTAGACTATTTTAACACCAACAAACAAAATAAGCTGTAATTAATTTTAAATTGATGAGTAACAAATGGTTGAATCAAAGGTGGTTAATGATGATTACAATAAGCTGCTGTGTGTCTGTGTGTGTGTCTGTGTGTGTGTGTGTGTGTGTCTGCTGGCGTGTGTGCGTGTGTGTGTGTGTGTGTGTATGTGTGTGTGTGTGTGTGTGTGTCGTGTGCGTGTGTGTGTGTGTGTGCATGTGTGTGTGTGTGTGTGTGTGTTATCCTTGTTTCCGCTTCAGTCCTTTCACTGTAGTCTTTGTTTAGGGGACTGTGTTGTTTCAGAGGCTGCAGAGCTGCTTCACCTGTTCAGCTGGTCAGGGCAGATCCAGGATCAGATTGAGGAGGGAGGGGAGAGGGTGGGGTCACACGCACACACGCACGCACGCACACACACGCACACATCAACAGAAGCTCAACTCGACTCGCCCGTGGTTGCCAAATCTGCTTCTGTTTTGTGATTCTGAGCTGTTATATCAATTATTACTCAGTCTCAAGTAAAAATCTATCTAATCTAATCTAACGAATTACTTTGACTGTAACTATAACGTTATCATTGCCGACACCCCGTTACTGCGCGTTACTGAAGTCGCACAATGAACTGTTTGCCCACGCTGCTCCTCTCTCCAGTCCCTGCTGCAGGACCGCAGCCCCGCAGTGTGTCGCCCCATCTACGGGGACTCATCTAGGGCCGCTGAACGGAGGGTTGTGTGTGTGGGGGAACTAATTATTTGCAAGTTTTATAATGTGTTTTGTTTGATCAATGGATAAAAATAAATGCAATGTCATTCAAAAGAAACCTTGGCCTGTCTTATTAGTACCTGTGTGCTGCAAGACAGTTCCCTAAAGTAACATATAATACTAACATATAATACTAATACTAAAACTAACATATAATACTAAAACTAACATATAATACTAATACTAACATATAATACTAAAACTAACTATAACTAATTACTTTTGCCCAACACTGATTACCACAGACTTTTAAAACCCGGGCCAAACATATTATTATTTCCATATAACAGTCTCTGCTTTCCGTGTGTATGAACTGTGTTCTACAAACGCGTATTATTCTCTGAGACTCTGGCAACCCGGCAGGTGACTGGGAACAAGGAAGATGAACAGATGCAGAGACAGAGAGACAGAGAGAGAGAGAGAGCAGCTGCAGGTAAGATCCACTTCTGTCTCTGGGACTTAGAAAGACTTAAATGCAGTTTACAGATACTTCCTGAATGAACCGGTGTTGTTTTGGTGATGTTTGTGTCACATTCATGTTATGGTGAAAAATGTCTCTGGGTAACCATGGTAACTGTGTCAAGAGTCAGGTTTTAGTTTTTGGTTCCTGGTCTAATCCACATGAAACAAAAGTGTTCACGAGGTTCCACGTCGTCTTTGTCATCACCTCTGTCATCAACTTTGGTCTCTCTCTATGGTCTCTCTCTGGTCTCTCTATGGTCTCTCTCTGGTCTCTCTCTGGTCTCTCTCTTTGGTCTCTCTCTCTCTTGTCTCTCTCTGGTCTCTCTCTGGTCTCTCTCTGGTCTCTCTCTGGTCTCTCTCTGGTCTCTCTCTGGTCTCTCTCTGGTCTCTCTCTGGTCTCTCTCTGGTCTGTCTGGATGGGTTTTCTCCAGGTGCTCCGGTTTCCCTCCACTCACCACATCCAGCAGTATGAATGTGGTGAGTGGATTTCTCGCTTGTAATATTATTGAATGGACGATACAGATCTACAGCCTCAGTCCTGGATCTACAGCCTCAGTCCTGGATCTACAGCCTCAGTCCTGGATCTACAGTCTCAGTCCTGGGTCTACAGCCTCAGTCCTGGATCCACAGCCTCAGTCCTGGGTCTACAGCCTCAGTCCTGGATCTACAGCCTCAGTCCTGGATCTACAGCCTCAGTCCTGGGTCTACAGCCTCAGTCCTGGATCTACAGCCTCAGTCCTGGATCTACAGCCTCAGTCCTGGGTCTACAGCCTCAGTCCTGGGTCTACAGCCTCAGTCCTGGGTCTACAGCCTCAGTCCTGGGTCTACAGCCTCAGTCCTCAGTCCTGGGTCTACAGCCTCAGTCCTCAGTCCTGGGTCTACAGCCTCAGTCCTGGGTCTACAGCCTCAGTCCTGGGTGTAGATCTCTCTCAATATGAGTCTCTCCAAAGTTTCTCACTTTTTCCCACTGAGTTTTGGAGTTATTTATATAGCGCATGTTACAGACCAAGATCGCCCAAAGCGCTTTACAACTGTTTAGAGTCATTCAGACCTATTGTACATGTTTTTAGTGGTAGGGGAAACCGGAGCACCCGGAGGAAACCGGAGCAGACACGGGGAGAACATGCAAACTCCACTCAGAAAGGCCTGGTTCCGACCGGGATTTGAGCCCAGGACCTCCTTGCTGAGAAGCGAGAGTGCATTTTTGTGTTTTGTTTATTTCCTTTTCTACGAGAAAATGAAGGCAGGGTTCCCAGACTCAACATTCACCGAGTTCCCACTTGGTCTGAAAACACAATCTGACCTTTGAGTCTAACCCAAGAGACCAGAGAGAGACCAGAGAGAGACCAGAGAGAGACCAGAGAGAGACCAGAGAGAGACCAGAGAGAGAGAGAGAGATAGAGACCAGAGAGAGACCAGAGAGAGAGACCAGAGAGAGAGACCAGAGAGAGACCAGAGAGAGACCAGAGAGAGAGAGATAGAGACCAGAGAGAGAGACCAGAGAGAGAGACCAGAGAGAGAGACCAGAGAGAGACCAGAGAGAGACCAGAGAGAGACCAGAGAGAGACCAGAGAGAGACCAGAGAGAGAGAGAGAGACAGAGAGAGAGACCAGAGAGAGAGACCAGAGAGAGAGACCAGAGAGAGAGAGACCAGAGAGAGACCAGAGAGAGACCAGAGAGAGAGAGAGAGAGAGAGAGACCAGAGAGAGAGAGACCAGAGAGAGAGACCAGAGAGAGACCAGAGAGAGACCAGAGAGAGAGAGACCAGAGAAAGAGAGAGACCAGAGAGAGACCAGAGAGAGACCAGAGAGAGACCAGAGAGAGACCAGAGAGAGACCAGAGAGAGACCAGAGAGAGAGACCAGAGAGAGACCAGAGAGAGACCAGAGAGAGAGAGACCAGAGAAAGAGGGTGAGAGAAAGAGAGAGACCAGAGAGAGACCAGAGAGAGACCAGAGAGAGACCAGAGAGAGACCAGAGAGAGACCAGAGAGAGACCAGAGAGAGACCAGAGAGAGACCAGAGAGAGACCAGAGAGAGACCAGAGAGAGACCAGAGAGAGACCAGAGAGAGACCAGAGAGAGACCAGAGAGAGACCAGAAAGAGACCAGAGAGAGACCAAAGCGAGACTAGGGAGAGAACAGAGAGAGAGAGAAAGACCAGGTAACGACCAGAAAGAGACCAAAGAGAACAAAAAAGAACAGAGAGAGTCTGGTCTGGCCTCGTGCTGGTCCCAGAGTCAGGTCTAAACATGAGGAGGCCTAACCTTAACCTTATCCCTAACTCTAACTCTAACTCTAACTCTAACTCTAACTCTAACTCTAACCCACATAGATCCTGAGCTGGAGATTATGATTTGTCCTAGTTTCAGGACTTTCTTCTGTAATGTGTAAAAACAGAGTGAGACTTCTGCATAAAGTCACATAGTGGTTGGACCATGTGGACGCCGCGTGGCTCTGGTATGTGGACAGACCAGTTTCTCGCATGGTACATTCTGCTTGGATGAACTGGTTCTCAAGTAACACACGCTCGTCTCTCGTTGCAAACTCATTTGAATGTTTTATTGTCAGACCGGGATCCAATATCGGCGGCCATTTTGGAAAGTATCAGGTTGAGGAAGTCTTTTGTAGGCTTTTGTTTTGTCT